TACTTCCCAGCTTTTCCATCCCTCACACATTTCTCACCCCCTCCCAGATTCACTGGCTTCATTGACTTTAGAGTCTTGCTGTGACCAGGTGTGCAAACCTGCTGTCTTAGTGGGGGTTACTATTGTTGTGAAGATGAAACACTGTGGCCAAAAGCAGCCTGAGGAGGAAAAGGTTTGTTTCACTCACACTTCCCTGTAACAGTTCATCATCCAAAGCAGTGAGGGAGGAAGTCAAGCAGGGCAGGAACCTGGAGGCAGGAGCTGATGCAGAGGCCCAAGAGGGGTGCTGCTTATTGGCTTGTTCCCATGGTTTGCCCAGCCTGCTTTCTTATAGAACCCAGGACCACCAGCCCAGGGATGGCCCCACCCACAATGGGCCCGCCCACATTGATCACTAATTAAGAAAATGCCTTACAGCTGGACTCCTGGAGGCATTTCCTCTGTTGCAGTTTCCTCCTCTCTGATGAATAGCTACTGACTCTAGTTTGTGTCAAGTTGATATAAAACTAGCCAGGACACATGGCCTGCGCTTGTTCCCATTAGTTTCTCTTCTCTGTTCCCATTCTCCCTCTCTTCATTTTTTGCAAAATGAATCACCCCATTTGTTTTTTGAGAACAGGGTCTCATATAGCTAAGGCTGGCCTCAGACTTTTTATGTACCCAAGGATGCCCTCGAACACCCTAGTCTCCTGCCTCTATCTACTAGACAAGGCTGGTAATCCACAACACCCCACCTGTTTTTATGAAGCACTCCCTTCGAGCGCCATTCCTCCACGTCTCTATGACGTCCTAGCAAAGCCATTCTGGAAAACAAGGCACAGGCATGGGTCCCGCCTGCCAGAGGCTGCTGCTCTGCTGAGACCTCCAAATCTTCCTCTGCAGCTCTGCTGGTCACTCTCTGTTTCTGTCCTGTCCTTCTCCACATCACCATCCTGCGGGACCACTCAGACTTAAGACAGGACACTTGTCTTTGCCTTTTAAATCCACCCAACAGTTCTTCATACTGACAGTAAGCCTCTTGTCTATGAGTTACCCTTATGCCCCGACCTGGGGCATCTCCAGAAACTCCCTCACTCTTCAGGCTTTTCTTTATCTACAAAATGGACCAAGTCGCTACACCCCTGTGCCGCATTCTTAGGACTCTTGCCTTCTGTGCTCACCCTTTTGGCTTGTTTGCTGTTGAGGTGTCCATCAGTGGGTCCCTGTACCTTTCTCAAGACCACTGTGCTTTTCTGCACAGCACCTCATAGTTTGACAATATTATTCAAATGTCAAATGTCTAAGCTCAAGGGCCCTGTGTGCTGGGCATTTGGTAGACTTTCAGAAGAGCGTATGCTGAGACAAGTGACTGACTGAATGGGAGTTGACATTTAGCTTCGCTCTCTGGCTTGCTGCTTCTTTTGAGCCTATCCTGTGGTGCCCCATGAGCCCTTAGAATGACAGCTTGTGGGGACTGAGCCATCAGAGGGTCTTCTCTTCCTTTAGTCAGGATCCTTTCTACTTAGACTTTTGTTTCAATCTAGTTCAGGCCCACCCTTGGCTGCAGGTCTTCTGGTCTGTCAGCTTCTCCGGAGGTGTTCTTTGTGGTATTTATCCCATCACCTTTGGGAGAAGAAATCTGTCACTGTAGCAAAAGCCTGTGTCCCACGGCAGGGTTCCACTTGTGCTGAAGAATTCCTCAGGACAGTGCTCTACAGGCACTGTCTTATAACTTCTCACACCTAATTTGTTCTTGTTCTGTCTACCCATGTGGACAACCATGGCCAGCCTGAAAGCACTTCTTATTGCTGTGTTAATTAGCATTGTAGAAGAGGGCTTACACAGTCTAAAGGGGCATGCTTAAACTTCCTTTGAAATGAACAGTGATGCCCCGTGTGTCCTTGATGAAGGGTTTCTCAAGGGTTCCACTTACTGAGTAAGCTGGGATGACCTGGAGCAGCTGTCTGACAGATCTGTCTCAGGATTTTGAGATTCCCATCTCTTCAGAATTAATAGACAGACTCTTCCAAAGAGACAGGGTTAGTGGAAATAAATAGTTAGTAATTGGGGGGCAGGCATGGTGGTACATACTTTTAATCCTGGGACTCAGGAAGCAAAGACAGCCTGCCTCTCCTCTCCTCTCCTCTCCCCTCCCCTCCCCTCCCCT